CAAAACATTGCTGCACGTACTGGCAAAATATTCTGTGGACAGATGAAACCAAAGTTGAGTTGTTTGGAAGAAACACACAACACTATGTGTGGCAAAAAAAAGGCACAGCACACCAACATCAAAACCAGGATACACCACTGTGTATGTGTGTATCTCCATATGTATGTGTCACGTATTCAATCTCACCTTATGACATTTTCAGTGGAAATTGCCTTCCTGGCCATAATGGAGGTGCCGCTCAGCAGCAGATCCATGCCATATTGTAGCCCCACATCAGCCCATGGTAATGATGGCGTTGACGTGTGTGTGACGTCACGCAAAAGACGCGTATGCACGTTTTGGTTCAAAGGCCGGTTACGGATGATCAGATCTGCAAGAGGGTTATTTAAACTAATTTTTCCTTTTAATCATTACCCTGTCGTGGTTTCCCTTAGAGGTAGTCCGAGAGTGTGTTCCTGAGCTTATTATTTTGGTTTTTCACTTTGACTTTGTTTTGACTTCCTTGTATTCTGGTATCCTTGACTTTTGGCTTTCCTTCATCGTTGTGTCTCCTTCTCTATCCCTGACCTTGGCAAGTATACTGACTATTCTTGGATACGTTAAGTCTGGCCATTCTAAGGTCCGGGTTAAACATTATCCTTAGTCCTAGGTGTGATATAATTCTGCGTGCTGGATCAACTAGTAATGCTGACAGTATGTATATATCTCCTAATGTATGTATATATCAATCATGTATCTACATATGTATCTATCTATCTATCGCCATATGTATGTATGTATCTATCTCCATATGTATGTATGTATCTGTCTCCATATATATGTATGTGTGTAACTCCATATGTGCGTATGCATGTATCTATCTTCATATGTATGTATGTATGTGTGTATATCCATTTCCTGGCCATATCCATGACAGTACAACAATGGGTTAGCTCCTCCCTATCCCTAATTAGAAAGGAACTAATTTAAAATAAGGGTATAAATACCCCCCTCCCACCATCTCCTCCCTCAGTCTTTTTGTTCCTGTCCTATCCCTATAGGACTTTAGTCTTTCCAGACTACAAATATTTTTTTTTTTTTTTTTTGGCTTACCTGAGAGTTTTTACCTTCTGCCCCAAGGGAGTTCAGCCTCTCTTCCTTGGGAAGTCTCCAGTACGTGGCCCTGCACAAAGGAAAAACCCCTGGAGATGCTCCTTTAGTGACCGGGAGCCACTTGCAGTGACCCTAGGGGTAGCAAGTTAAATTGCCAATAAGAAGAATTCCCTGCAGTGACCAAGCGGTAGCAGGAAGTGGCAGAAGAACCTCATCTTCTAGGGTTTCTTTTTTCTATCATTTCTGACATCCACAGTATTTCTAATATATTCCTAAGGGTTTGTATATAGCATTACTTGTGGTCGTTAGGTTCCCCCTTCCACCTTGACTGACTCTGTTACAGAACAAGTATAAAGGTAAGGTTTTAAATTTACCTTATAGCTGTTATCCTGGAGTTGCTAGGTTTCTTCGGTCTTTCTGCCCTCTGGTCTGGTATGGCTCGAGGGGGCAGAGGTGCAGGATAGCTGTTTTTTGCCAAATAAATTGACGGTTCCGGTCTCTGGGAGCCACCATCTTGCTCGGTGTCCTCCGGCCATTCTGCGCATGCGCGATCAAGCGATTGCTTCATGCTAGCTTACGCGAATGCGCGGGGTGTTGTTTCCGCGCGTGCGCAGTGCGGCAGATCGGGATCCTTCCGGGGCGTCATCAGTGACGTCACACGCCTTTTTTAAGGCGCCAAAATCTAATTTTGTTACCTCTCTCAGGTATTTCTTGCTACAAGCAGCGTTCCCAGTGACAGATATTTCTCATTTTAGTGTCTACTTCAATCAATATTTTTGCTGATCCTCAGGTATGTTCCCCTCCTTTTTCAAGTTGAATTTTATACTGTTTAGTATAAATATTTCAATTCTTTTATATACTAGCCTGAAAAAAAATGGAAAAAGACAGATCCTTTTCATCGGACACAGAGGCATCTATACATAAACAAAGGTCACAATCTAAAGGTTATAGGTAAGCCAGCCTTATTTTTTTTTTAATGCAATAATTATAAACAAAAAGAGTGCCTAAACTAATTATATTCCCTATCATGATGGTTCTACGGGATTTAAAGCATCTGGAACTTCCAAAGGCAAGTCGCCTATGAAGAAAAGATGTGAAGCCTGCAACAATAAACCACTGGAAGGGAAGCGTTAATGCACAGAATGCCTGTCAGCAGCAGCTGGAGCCTCTAATGCTGCACCTACACCGGATATAATGCAGTTCATCAAACAAGCTGTCTCCCAGGGCATTAAGGATGCAGGAAAATCAAACAAAAGGCTCAGAATTGCTGACACCTTTGATTACTCTCAGGAGAAATCCTCAGATGAATCCATGGATATGGACTCCTACAGAGAAGGGCTTTCCTCTTCATAAGAAGAATCCGTAGCCCCAGATTTTATGGAACCTGCTCAAGTAGATTACTTAATTGCCAGAGTACACAAGTCCTTGAGCCTAAAGGAAGTTTCCTCAGCACAACCTTCTACTTCCAGCAGATACTTTGCAGATCTAAAAAAGAAAAGAGCTACTTTTCCAGTACACGAGACAATTAAAGACCTGATTGAGGATGAATGGTCTAACACACGCAAGAAGTTAGCAGCCCTACGCAGAATTGCTCGCCTTTATCCTTTCAGGAGGAATGACTCCAGCTGCTGGGATTCTGCTCCCAAGGTAGATGCTGCTGTGGTAAGACTGGCCAAACACACTACCCTACCAAAAATCAATCAGTTGACGACGCAGGATCATTTAGAGATCCCATGGATAAAAAGACGGATCTACACCTCGCTAAGGCTCATGTGGCAGCAGGCACAGGCCTCCATCCAGCAGTGGCTCTTACCTCAGTTTCCAGAGCTTTAAGAATTTGGATGGAGAATCTAGAAGAAGACATTCAAAGAGGCAAAAGCAGAGCCAGTCTTCTAGAAAGCCTCAGAGACATAAAGCTAGCAGTAGACTTTATTTCTGATGCCTCAGTAGACCTGGTTAAGGCTTTAGCCAGAAATATGGCTCTCTCCATTTCAGCCAGAAGGGCTTCATGGTTAAGATCCTGGGCAGCGGATAATTCTTCTAAAGCCAGTTTATGTGCCTTACCATTCCACAGAGACATGCTGTTTGGGACAAATCTGGATGTATGTATCAAGAGAGCGGCCAAAGGGAAAAGAGCATTTCTCCCACAAGATCGTAAACCTAGAGGATCCTTTAGGTACAAGAGATACCCAGACTACTCTTCCTTTCGAGATTCAAGATCATACAAGCCAGGAAGAGAACATGGAAGATCCCATCCACGAAGAGGAGGTCAGTCATCTACAAGAGGTGGAAAGTCAAAGGGTGCTTCATTCCACAAGAATCCCAGATTCTTATGACGGGTTCTCCCCCAGTCAGTAGGAGTGGGGGGGTAACGGACCGTTTCGCTCACAAGGGGATAAAAACCGTTTAGGCGATAATCCCCTTCCAGATAGACCAGCAGCTACTGCAATCACCAACCTCCCGAACTCCAAACTGCACGTATTCACCAACTCTCGAACAGCAGACCCACGAACCCTGGAAGCAGCCGAACAGGAAAAGCCCTACGAACAGCTTACACTCCTGGCAATCGGCATACAGTCAAATTCCCCCCAAGAATGAGACGACACTTCACTTTGAGGGTTAAACAGGAACAACACTGATTTATTCACACAACAGGCTTATAAAGGATTCTCCCATGCAAGGGAGGGATTTACAACAATTACCCAATACACCAATCACACAAGAGTTACCTCCCACAATGCCTCACAATCCCTCCTCTCTGCCCTGGAGATAATTGGGGAAGGAATCTAATTATCTCCAAGGACAGAGGTAAAACTCCATTACCCACATGGCAGACAAAAAGACAGTAAAAGACATAAAATTGCATGCTGATACATTTAGTACATAATACACACATTTCTACATATCCCCAGATAGCTTAGATCTGAGCGCACATTATTAGATGAATGGCACTCAGATCACATACATACAGTTTAAATGCCATGGAGCCAAAGTCTTTCACATAGTCCTTCGTTACACTAATGGGCTCCATGGCTTAGCTATCTGGGTTAACATATTCACATATCCCAAAGTACCGACTGAACCGGTGTTCGACACCAAGGGCACAAATAGGAACCAGGGGGCGGACGGCTCAGCTGTGTTGGCGCAAGGAAGTGTCCGTTTTCCGTTCCACAGTGTTAGTGCTGAGCACCGCTGGCCTTTCGGGACTTAAAATGGCCACTGCCACGTGTTCGGCAAACGAACAAAGGCCACCCAGCGTTCATCATGATTTTCTCTGTTATTTCTTCTCCCCCCCCCCCTTATTTTATTGATACCCACCCGAATGTCTTGCTTGACCAATCCTCACCTCCTCTGTGCATCTCCATTCCATAGCTTTTATTGCAGTCCTGTTTTGACCCTATCATCTCTGTCTTCCACAGTCTGAGTTTTAAAAGACCACTTCTAGCAAACCTGAACAGTGCTCAGATTCCCGCCCACCCCTCCCCTCACCACCCCACCCCAAGTTCCTTACTACATTTATGGATAGAATCCCACACACACCTTTAGTTAATTCCAAATAGCAGCTGCAAACACTACCCATAATGAGCACAATCCACCTTCTTAACCCCTAACACTCACTCCCTCTCCTCCCTTATGCTCATTCTTCATCCCTCTAATTACCTACCTATCAGAGCAATGCTCTATATTCTTCTCCTCTCCTTCTCTCTCATCTCCCTAAGGATCAAAATATCCCCTTCCACCCACTTCCCTCAACAAAACACTAACATTTACATTAATCCCTCTCTGCTACACTTCCCCCTTCTCTCATCTCAAGCCCTGCACTCATTTCTCTATTCTCTCTCTCCTGCTCTAACCCAATCTCACCCTAGTCGCCGCCCATATAAAACCCACTCACACCTCCTGTCTCTATCTCTCCTCCTACTTCTGGCAGCTGGTGACGTCTCTCCCAACCCAGGGCCCCTCACCTCATCTGCTCACACTAAAATTACCAGAAACCATGCAAACCTCCTCCAAATACCCTGCAGTCTATCCTCCTCTACCAAAATTCAGTGTGCACTCTGGAATGCTCGCTCCATTTGTAGTAATATCAAATCTACAGCAATACATGACCTCCTCATCTCTAACTCTCTCACAATACTGGCACTCACTGAGACCTGGCTATCTCCATCTGATACCGCTACTCCTGCTTCTTTATGTTTCGGTGGTCTACAGTTCTCCCATACTCCTAGACTTGACTGTAAAGGAGGTGGTGTCGGCATCCTTCTCTCCCCTCAATGTACCTTTCAACCTATCCTCCCTGCCCCTGCCCTATCCTTTACTTCCTTTGAAGTTCACACTGTACGCCTTTTTAAGCCCACTCCCTTAAGAATTGCCATCATCTATCGCCCCCCCGGTCACCCTAAACTATTCATTGAACACTTTTCCTCCTGGTTACCCCACTTTCTTTCCTCTAGCACTCCCTCTCTCATACTTGGGGACTTCAATATCCCTATCAACAAGCTCAATTGCCCTGATGCCTCTCGTCTGCTCTCTGTAACCTCCTCCTTTGGACTCACACAGATTTCTTCCTCAGCAACTCACACTGCAGGAAACACTCTTGACCTCATCTTCACCAATCTCTGTACTACCTCTGATCTCGCCACTGCTCCATTTCCTTTGTCTGACCATCATCTGCTAACATTTAACATCTGCATACCCCATACCAAAATCTCACCACCGTCCACTCTCCAACCTCGCAGAAACCTCAACTCTCTCGATCTCCAGCACTTCTCCACTAAACTCCAAACACTCCTTTTACCCATCTCAAATCACAACTGCCCTAACTCTGCAACCTCACTCTACAACTCCACTCTCTCCTCTGAACTTGACATCATGGCACCTCCTACAGTTAAACGCAGCAAGCGCCCCCAACTACAACCCTGGCACACCAAGCTGACCCGTTACCTCCAAAAATGTTCCAGAACTGCTGAACGCTGCTGGAGAAAGTCTCACTTTGCATCTGACTTTGTCCACTATAAATTTATGCTGCGCTCCTACAGCATGGCTCTTTCCTCTGCAAAAGTAAGCTACTTCAACACCCTCATAAGCACACTGTCCCACCAACCCAAACACCTATTTCACACTTTTGATGCACTTCTTCGCCCTGTGACTCCCCCTCCTTCCACCACCTTGTCCGCCACAAACTTTGCATCTCATTTCACTGAGAAGATCTCTACAATCAGGAAAGAGATCTCTAATCTTTCTCCGACCAGTATCAATACATCACCCAACCCCACTCCCCCTGTCATCCTAAGCTCATTTGCACCTGCTACAGCACAAGAGGTTTCTGCTCTGCTCCTGTCCTCCCGCCCCACAACCTGCTCCCTCGATCCTATTCCCTCGCATCTCATCCGCACTTTGTCTCCCTCTCTTGCTCTTCCTCTCGCTAACATTTTCAATCTCTCCCTTTCCTCTGGCACATTTCCCTCTGCCTTCAAACATGCAACCGTAACCCAATTCTGAAAAAGCCCAACCTCGATCCCAACTCCCCATCCAACTACCGCCCTATCTCGCTACTGCCATTTGCCTCCAAGATCCTCGAGAGAGTTGTCTACGCCAGATTGACAGACTTTCTTGAATCCAACTCTCTGCTTGACCCCCTTCAGTCTGGATTCCGCGCTGGTCACTCTGTCGAAACTGCTGTGACCGAAGTATCCAACGATTTAATTGATGCTAAATCTCACGGCCAATACTCTATCCTAATCCTCCTTGATCTCTCTGCCGCCTTTGACACTGTTGATCATCAACAGCTTCTTCACATTCTCCGTAACTTTGGTCTACGGATTCTGCTCTCTCCTGGTGCTCCTCCTACCTCTCCCAGCGCTCCTTCAGTGTTTCTTTCTCTGGCTCTGCCTCTTCTCCCCAACCCCTCCCTGTCGGCGTCCCCCAAGGTTCTGTCCTCGGCCCCCTACTGTTCTCTATCTATACTGCCTCCCTTGGTAAACTCATCAGCTCTTTTGGCGTCCAATACCATTTATATGCAGATGACACGCAAATCTACCTGTCCTCCCCTGATCTCTCTCCGCCCACCTTGACTCGTGTTTCTGACTGCCTCTCTGCTATTTCCAACTGGATGGCTGCTCACTTCCTTAAACTCAACCTATCCAAAACAGAACTTCTAGTTTTTCCTCCCTCAAGTGCTGCTACTCCTGTGTCTGTCGCCATCCAAGTCAACGGCGCTACTATCACCTCTACCTCCCAGGCTCGCTGCCTAGGAGTTCTTTTTAATTCTGATCTCTCTTTTACTCCCCATGTTCAATCGATAGCCAAATCCTGTCCAACTCAAGAACATAGCGCGCATCCGCCCATATCTAACGCCGGACGCGGCTAAGGTGCTGGTTCATGCTGTTGTTCTCTCTCGCCTTGACTATTGCAATCCCCTTCTCACCGGTCTTACATGTTCCCAGCTTGCACCGCTGCAATCTATAATGAATACGGCTGCGAGGCTTATTTTCCTGTCCGGTCGCACCTCCCACGCCTCCATGCTCTGTCAGTCCCTGCATTGGCTTCCAGTTAGATATAGGGCCCAATTCAAAATTCTGGCGCTTGCTTACAAATCCCTACATAATGCTGCTCCAACATACCTATCTTCCCACATACACAAGTATGTCCCGACGAGACCCCTGCGCTCAGCCCAAGACCTACTCCTATCCTCTGCCCGGATCCCCACCTCTGATGCTCGCCTTCAAGACTTCTCCAGGGCTGCACCTATTCTGTGGAACTCCCTTCCCTCCTCAATCAGACTTTCACCCAGCCTCCATTCCTTCAAAAAATCTTTGAAAACTCACTTCTTTATTAAAGCGTATCAATGAAACTGTCATCAGGTTTCTCATCCCCCACCCCATGACTCCGTTCCTTCACCTGTCAAAAATGACCTACCAAGCACTCAATAAACCCTTCTGTAACAAACTATTTAATTCCCCTACTTTAACCCTTTGTGTCACTATACCCCACTCCCTCTAGCATGTAAGCTCATCGAGCAGGGCCCTCAACCCCCTCTGTTCCTGTACGTCAGTGGTCTGATCTCAATTATGTGTCTGTTAGTCCACCCATTGTACAGCGCTACGGAATTTGTTGGTGCTATATAAATAATAAAATAATAATAATAATAATCAATTAAGCTGCGGAGGAGCCTGGTTGCCCGCCTGCTGCCTTTAGACTATGGCCCCATGTTGAAACGCTTGATTTTCCCCTGCGGAGACACGAAAGCCGGGTCATTCGGTGCTGGCCCTGTTTAAGCGGTGATACCCCAGATAGCTATGCCATGGAGCCCATTCGTATAATGAAAGACTATGGGAAAGACTTTGGCTTCATGGCAATTGAACTGTATGTGTGTGCTCTGAGCGCCATTCAGTAATAATGTGAGCTCAGATCTGAGCTATCTGGGGATATGTTGAATGTACCTGTTTTGTGCAATGTCTGCACAGTTGTCTTTTGCTGCCATGTGTTCAATGGAGTTTTGCCTCTGTCCTTGGAGAAAATTGGATTACTTCCCAATTATCTCCAGGATAGAAGACTCTGTGGAACTGGTTTTGGGTAGAAAAGCCATGCTTCTTTTGGTCATAAAGGACTACGATCTATCTTTTGAACCACTGGACCAATTTGGATGGTTTTGACATATGTTTGTATTTGGGGTATGATTCTGAAAATGTAAGTTGTATGTGAATGTGATGCATACTTTTCAAGTTCTGAATAATGTGGAAAAATTGTATTTCTCTGCTTGTGATAATTACATTACCCATTATGTAAGGTAATTGTATCACAGGCAGAGGGGAGGATTTTGTGTGGGAGTGTCTGAGTGTATTGTATGTGTTTATTGGTTGTGTTCCAAAACCCTGTGGGTGGTACTAAGGTGTATATAAGAACAATAAACGCACAGCTCTGTCTGTTCCTGCTTGACCCACAAAACGGAGCCTTGTCTCGTTCTTGGGGGGATTTACTGTATGCTGTTCCAGTTTGACTGCTAGGAGTGTAAACCTATTCATATGGTTTTTCCTATTCTGCTGTTTACAGCATTCGTATGCTTCTCCGGTTTGGTGGATTGGTGTCTACGGTAGCTGCCTGTGTCTCTGGAAGGGGAAGATCTACTAAACAGCAGTTTAACCCTTTTATGCCTGGGGGTGATGTTACAGTGTGTATATCCATATCTTTGTATGTGTATGTTTCCCTATATGTCCACACAACTGGTGTGATTCCTCCTAATTGTTTACTGTTTGAGTTTCTTTCATTTGAAATTAAAAGCCTGCAGACAAAAGGCAGATACCCAAACCGTGTAAATATTCTCAGCCATGCGGACATAGGTGATCCTCCACATTGCACTCAGTCCAACAAGCTCATTTACTTCTCTGCTTTGCTGCAAACAAAATATTAAGAGACACACAGAGACATAAATCATATAGGACACATGGCCTCTTATAGGTCAAAGCTAAACCCAATATCGTTAGAATTACTTTAGTAAAATCAATCTTGCTCCCTCATCAGTCTGCAGTGTGATTTCATTTCATTATCTACAACAAGACAATGCCATTGTTTCTATAGTCTACTTTATGAAAGGTCATCTCTAGAATTTCATCCCACCAAGTTTATTTAAAAAAACTCTCCTGTTTTTGTTACATTTAGATGTTAGAGTTTCTGTGTGTTTTCCATTTTTAAAACATATTTACTGTTTCAGCTACTTTGGAAACATGATAATAAGTGAAAGGAGTTGGACTATATAGATGGTACAGGGCGATGTGTATTGAGTATTTATGTTCTGACAGTGAAGCAATTACCTTGGGTACAAATAGAACAATTTGCAGATTTCTAATATTTAACTGGAACTACAGTTTCAAATTGCCATCTGTCTCAGTGTCACATATTGTTTCAATGGAGAAGTTAAATTAAATGTATAACACTGGCACATTGATATCATAATGTTTTCTAGACAATGACTTACAAATACTGTACCAAAAACATAGTTCCTCATAATCGTATTCACTTGTTTATAAACCTTCTATTGTCAAAGGAAATGGAGAAGTTCTTATGACTCAATGACTATTAGTGATTGGAATCATTTACCTCTGAGTGCCTTGTATTTGGTTTCACAATATTTCTCTTATCATTGTTATGATCCCTCAAC